CTGTCATAGAGTTCCTGTAGATCCTTTGACTTTTTTTGTTTTCTATGACAGGCAGAGTGGACAGTGAGAGAGAGAGACAGAGAGAAAGGTCTTCCTTTGCCGTTGGTTCACCCTCCAATGGCTGCTGCGGGCGGCGCGCTGCAGCCGGCGCACCGCGCTGATCCGAAGGCAGGAGCCAGGTGCTTCTCCTGGTCTCCCATGGGGTGCAGGGCCCAAGCACTTGGGCCATCCTCCACTGCACTCCCGGGCCATAGCAGAGAGCTGGCCTGGAAGAGGGGCAACTGGGACAGAATCCGGCGCCCTGACCGGGACTAGAACCCGGTGTGCCGGCGCCGCTAGGTGGAGGATTAGCCTAATGAGCCGCGGCGCCGGCTCTTGACATTTAATTATAAATCATAGTTGCAGAAAATGTATATTCTTAATATTTTTAAAGATCACATGTCAACATTACTAATGTAACAATTTGCTAGTGTATTTAAGTAATGGATGATTGAGGGGATGTTTTGGACTGCAACGATATTTTAGACACCATAGACTCTGCAGAAACACATTCAGGTAGCATCCCTCAGTAGTCATGTAATCAGTCTCAATCTTACTGCAAGCCCCAAACTCAACCTTACCCCAAGTCGTCCCACCTAGTACATTGTTTATGCCAACTTGATTAGGGAGCTTGTCAATGGCATTTGTGTATTTTATAAGAGTGATTTCAAAAATATAATACACCCTAGATTAATGTACTGTACTTGGCAGGAACTGCCTTGGCTTTTGGGCACATATGCTTCAAATCTGAGAATATTACAGATATATATGGAATCTTGGTAGATCTCTCTAAGGCAAGCTGGTATTTAACGCAAAAGCAAACCCATTTGAAACTAAAGCACTTTCCATGAGGCAGTTTGGCGGCTGTTCTATGAGGCAAACTCACTGTGCTTGACGGACACATTTCGATTAAATGCTGCTTTGTATTCTTCCAAAGATGGGAACAATAAGGACGTTTGTCAAAGGAAAAACTGCAGCAAACGATTTCATGTTGAACATCTGTATTCTGCAGTTCATTGTTTGCAAGAGTTTATTGACCATAATTTTGATGCATATAGGTTTTAAAGAGTCTAAACTGCATTTATCTTGGGTGCCTATCGTTTATTTGAGTCTTGGCTTATTTATTTCCATTTTTCTGGGCATTTTATTTATTTGGGGATTTTGAAGAGAAGAAGAAAAAGATGTTTCCCAAAATGGAAGTTTTAGTTAGCTCTGCAAAATTGATGAGGAAAGACGATGTTTTTACAAAAAGGATTGAGCAATTGAATTGAAAAATGTAACACTAAGCATATTATATCTTTATGATACCTTTCAGCCTTAGTGATATTAAAACAATTTACAAACTTTAAGACCCCTCTCCTAACTCTTTGACCACCATAACAGAGTGACATTTCAAAGTAATATGTAGCAGCTGGCAACTGACAAAGTAATTTAGGGATAGTGGAATCAAAAGACAATTAATAGCATTGTGAATTTCATCCTGAGTTAAGTTGGCTTCTTTCGCTTTATAAATAGACAGTCTACTGTTAGAAAATGCAAGCTTTCTTTTTTTGTATTTTATTAGGGGAAACTAAAACCCAGGCTATCCAAGTTGGAAAATAAGAGTCATTTTATCAGTCTTGTTTGACAAACTGTTGTGGTACTGATCTGTTAACTTGACTCTGCTACCATATAAACTACAGATCCTCTGTCTGAATAGATGGGAGAAACTGATTACCTAGAAAGATAATAACTTTTTTGATTGATATTTAGTAATAAAATAGCCTATCTATATTGGTGGTTAAGAAAACCAACTTTGAAATCTGGTGTATTTGGACTATAACCCCAGCACCAAGGAATTAACTTGATCTTTTATGAAAATATTTCCTATTCTCTATAGTACAGATATCAGCATTTATTTTAAAAATGTACTTAGTTATTTTACTTGAGAGAGAGAGAGAGAGAGGGAATACTCCCATCTACTGATTCACTTCCTAAATGCATGCGATAGTTGAGGGCTGGGGCAAGCTGGGATCCAGGAACTCAGTTCAGGTCTCCCACGTGGGAGGAAGGGACCCAAGTAATTCAGCCATCACCTGCTGCCTCCAAGAGTGTGCATTAGCAGGAATCTGAAATCAGGAATCTGGAACTTGAACTCAGGTACTCTGATGTGGGATTCAGTCATCCCAGGCAGAATCTTAACTGCCAAACCAAACTCCCACCCAAATAATAGGATATTTTATAGTTTTTTTTTTTTGTGTGTGTGTGTGTACTTCGTGTACCATGATAGTGATGAAGCACTTCCTGGCATAGCAGGCTTTCAGTAAATTGCTAGCTGCTATTATTCTGTCTTGGATTGTTCAGTCTAAGAAGATCCTGATGTATTAAGTAAATTCTTTAATTAAAAAATGTTTTGCATTGCCCAATTGCCTGTCTTCAGAGAAGACTTGAAGATATTGTCATTGAAGAGAAAATTTGCATCTATTTTTCTTTCTTTCTTTTAGGATACACCCTGGCAGAAACTCAAGATGGTTATGTAAGCTTCTCCAATTTGGCAGTCCTGATTTCTGGGTCAAACTGGCACTTTATTTTTACTGTGACTTCCCCTCCAGGTAATTTCAGCATAGTGTGCTTTTGTTGTCTGTTTCTTTGGAAAAAGCAATCCCTTCTCTTTTATAATTGGAAGAATCCTGTCATGAATAAGACACCATCACAGTTTAGAGAAAAAAATCACTTGACTATCATCAAGGCGTGAGAAGAAAGGGCACATGGGGAAATTAAACTTCAGGAGACCCCTGGTAAGGGGAATCCAAGGGTACATCCTCCTTTAGATGCTAATATTTACTTTGGGGGTTCAACATTTTTTTCTTTTTCTAGGACATTTGATTGGATATTAAATAGATATTTTAATTTATAAGAATCATAGGACATAAATTTTTAATTTGTAAGACAGTCATATAGTGTTATGGAATCTTATCTTTGGATTTTGCTCTCTTCATCACCTCCCTCCCTGCTGAAAATTATTGGGACCATACTCCCTAATATCTTGGCACTGGAATCATAGATAGTGTATTTAAATGGCTTATATGACCCCATTATTCTTTTTTTTTTTTTTTTTTGGACAGGCAGAGTGGACAGTGAGAGAGAGACAAAGAGAAAGGTCTTCCTTTTGCCGTTGGTTCACCCTCCAATGGCCGCCGCGGCCGGCGCACTGTGGCCGGCACACCGCGCTGATCCGATGGCAGGAGCCAGGTACTTATCCTGGTCTCCCATGGGGTGCAGGGCCCAAGGACTTGGGCCATCCTCCACTGCACTCCCTGGCCACAGCAGAGAGCTGGCCTGGAAGAGGGGCAACCAGGACAGAATCCGGCGCCCCGACCGGGACTAGAACCCGGTGTGCCGGCACCGCAAGGTGGAGGATTAGCCTAGTGAGCCATGGCGCTGGCCGACCCCATTATTCTTAATAAAATATTCTTACAATTCTTTAATGAAAATGTATAAGAAGCACTTGTCAACGTGTTATGTAACTCACTAATGAGGAAACCAGAAGAACAGCAACTCTGATTCAAAAGCCATTGGAAGATAATGACTATAAATCCAGGAAAGAAATGCTGAAATAAATTTGCTAAATTAGATACAAGGCTATGAAACTATAACCATCAAGGTTGCATGTATACAGATATTATTTGCATATTACTCAACAAAAATCATCTGTAGCTTATCTGTATTCTAGAAATGAGCATATCAGGGCCCTAATTCATAATAAGTATATAATCAAACAAATTCTGGAGAATCTGATAAACTTTGAATTGGCCTATTTGAAAATACTGTAGTATGACATTTGTAAGATCTGCAATATTTTTGCTCTTAATTCTAAGCTTGAGATCACTTTTCTTTAACGCAGGCTATCTTCTGAAATCAGCTACTATTATTAAATATTAATTTTTGGCAGATATTCTTTTAATCCCTATGAAGATGTACAAATGTATTAATGGAGAAACATGGTCACTGTCCTTGACATCAACTTTTCAAATACTTTGCCTTATACTTTTTTTTCTAAGGCTTATTTTATTCATTTGAAAGGCAGAGTTACAGAGAGGCAGAGAGAAAGAGAGACAGAGAAATCTTCCATCCACTGGTTCACTCCCCAAATGGCAACAACAGCTGGAGCTGTGCCAGTCCGAAGCCAGGAACCAGGAGCTTCTTCCAGGTCTCCCATGTGGGTGCAGCAGCCCAAGTGTCTGGGCCATCTTCTACTGCTTTCCCAGACCATAGCAGAGAGTTGGATCAGAAGTGGAGCAGCTGGGACTCGAACCTGCACCCACATGGGATACTGGCACTGCAGGCTGCACCCTTACCCACTAAGCCACAGCGCCAGCCCCTCCTTATACTTTTTTTTGTTTTTAAGATTTATTTATTTATTTGAAAGGCAAAGTTACAGAGAGGCAGAGGCAGAGAAAGAGAGAGAGATTGGCCTTCCTTCCTGTGATTCACTCCCCAACTGGCCTCAATGGCCAGAGCTGTGCCGATCTGCAGCCAGGAACCAGAAGCTTCCTCCAGGCTTCCCCACACAATTGCAGGGGCCCAAGAACCTGGGCCATCTTCTACTGCTTTCCAGGCCATAGCAGAGAGCTGGATCGGAAGTGGAGCAGCCAGGACCTGAACCAACGCCCACATGAGATGCCAGCTATGCCACAGCACTGGCCCCCACTTGAGTTTCTTAATGAATATGTTATAAAGAGTAACACATGCAGAGATGGATATTTAGTCCTAGATTTGTCTGAAATTTAGAACTTTTTCCTTTAATTTCCTCAGTACTTAACTACTAAGGACTTCATCAAAGTTGTTTTAAGGCATAAGTTGTAAAAGTAAGTGTAAAATGGGCCGGCACAGCAGCTCACTAGGCTAATCCTCTGCCTTGTGGCGCCGGCACACCAGGTTCTAGTCCCGGTCGGGGCGCCGGATTCTGTCCTGGTTGCCCCTCTTCCAGGCCAGCTCTCTGCCGTGGCCCGGGAGTGCAGTGGAAGATGGCCCAAGTGCTTGGGCCCTGCACCCCATGGGAGACCAGGATAAGTACCTGGCTCCTACCTTTGGATCAGCCTGGTGCACTGGCTGCAGCGCGCCAGCTGAGGCGGCCATTGGAGGGTGAACCAACGGCAAAGGAAGACCTTTCTCTTTCTCTCTGTTTCTCTCTCTCACTGTCCACTTTGCCTGTCAAAATAAAATAAAATAAATTAAAAAAATTTTAAAAAGTAAGTGTAAAATGTAGACAGAAACATTTCAGTAACACTTGTAATTTTCAGCCCCCAGTCATGGTGTTCATATTTGGTAGGCTATTTTTGTGTTCCAACTTATAACTTCTAAAGTAGGCAGGAATTATTTTTAATCTAAATTATTATTCATAATTTTCAAAACAAGGTTTAGTTGGTGAGGCCATCTCAGAACATTTATAAAGGAAGCCAGCTGCAAAGACAAACACTACATATTTCCCTTGATCTGTGGTAACTAATAGAGTACAAAAAAATGATGTGTATGAGCAAAATTGGCTTTTTTGAGATTTGATTTTTGTTTACAGCCCTTGTCTCTATTTTTACAAACAGCATTGTTTTCTTCTTACTATTGAATTCTTTACTCAGTGGAGGGTTAAGCATATGATTATAAAATAAGCTGAAAGTATGTCATCGTAAAAATTAAAAGAATGAATAAGAAGGGAAGGAGGAGGGAAAGTGGGATCATGGGTGGGAGGGAGGTCAGTCTGGGAAGTATCAATATGCTCCTAAATCTGTATATCTGGATACATGAAATCTGTTCATCTTATGTAAGCAAAAAATGAAAAAGAATAGATGGAGGATGAAAAGTAAAGAAAAATATTAATTGGCCAACACTTTTTTGCATCATCACTTATTTACATCAACACTTATTTACATCATATTGATTAATGGTACAAATCTGGAGAGTAACTATTTCAAAGTGTCTCAGTTTCCAGTGTGAGAACTTCTGATAAAGCAGCATCTATTCACATATTTATGCCAATCACTAAAATGCCTTATTTCTTTTTTTAAAGGTTTATTTATTTATTTGAAAGGCAGGGTTATAGAGGCAGAGAGAGAGAGAGAGAGAGAGAGAGAGAGAGAGAGAGATACAGGTCTTCCATCCACTGGTTCATTCCCAAAATAGCTGCAGCAGCTGAAGCTGGGCTGATCTGAAGCCAGGAGCCAGGAGCTTCTTTCAGGTCTCCCACATGCGTGTAGGCACCCAAGGTCTTAGGCCATCATCTACTGCTTTCCAGGCCCTAGCATAGAGCTAGATCAGTTGTAGAGCAGACAGGATTTGAACTGGTGCCCATATGTGATGCCGGCACTGCAGGCGGCAGCTTTACCTGCTACATCACAATGCTGGCCCCTAAAATTCCTTATTTCTAACAGACTTCAATAAGCTTTGACTCATATTACTGTTGTTTCATTCACTTATGAATCAAGCAGAGAACTTGGAAAAATTTTCATTACTTTCTGTCTTCTCCCTGTTATCTTAGAGATAGGAAACTTACTATTTCTAGTTTAGAAATTTTTAAAAAAATGGAGAACTGAGAAGTTACATAGGTCTAAACAAGTATTGTGGAATCCTACTAAGTCTTTCTTACATATTAATAAATCTAGTATATTTATTGCCTCTGAATTTACTGAGAAACCGCAAGAAACAAGGGCTTCTCTAAGTTTGTGTATTAACTTTCTTTTTTTTTAATTGTCTATTTACTTGAAAGGCAGAGTCTCAGAGAGACAGAGAGAGAGAGAGAGAGAGAGAGAGAGAGAGAGAGATCCTCGTCACAGGTTCACTTCCTAAATGGCTACAATCGTCATGGCTGGGTCAGATCAAAGCCAGGCTCCTGCAACTCTATCTGGGTCTCCCACATGGATATAGGGGCTCATGGACTTGAGCAATCATCTGCTTTTTGCCCCAGGCATTTTAGCAGGGAGCTGGACTGGAAGCAGAGCTTCTGGAACTGGAATCAACCCCCATGTGGGATGCCAGCAGTACAGGTGGCTCTTTAACCTACTGCACCACAATGTTGGTCCCTATAGTAGTGTCTTCCCACACCCACTGTCCTTCCTGAAGTCTAGGCTGCGGCTGTTCTGGATATTTCCCAGAGCCAAGGAGTTTTCCAAAGGTACTCAGGATGTCAGGATCTGCTGGGCTGAGAAAAGATTGAAGAAGTCAGACATCCTCCATGCGCCCTCCACCCACCAGCACGCACATAGTCTTAATCCACAGTAATTCCAAGTGTAATTGTCACTTGCTTGCCTGGAATGTTCATCCTCCACAGATTCACAGGGCTGTCTCCTGGCATTGCTCAGTTTTCAGCTCAATTGTCAGCCTCCAAGAGGCCTCCTCTAGGTCACTTCATCCTCAAAACCTTCCGCATTCCTACCCCTGCCTCCAGATTTCTACCTTCACTTTAGTTTTCTTCATGGCATTATTGTATTGCAGTTTTTGTATTGCATTATTGTATGGCAGTATTGCTACATTGTGGCATCCGTATCTTTGCTTTTTTGTCTACAGTCTGTGTTCAGGATCCTGCATTAGGACATAAGTTCCAAGAAGGATAGGAATTCCACTTGTTATGAACCAGTGAGCATATTAAGGTCATTTTCAATATTGCAATTTAAAAAATATTCTATTAAGATTGTTGACCATCGGTGGTCTCCACCCTGGGAATGATGTTCTTGCTGTAGGCACCCACTGCAGAGCTACTGTCTTGATTTCAGCCTCTGTTGTTTTCTGTGCTCAGCACACCTTTATTGACTGATCTGTATCCATTGTGACACCCGTACCTTCTAAGTTCAGAATCTTCCCATTATCCAACAATCATCAAAATGTTTGCCTGGCATTAAATGTCCACCAAGCAACTCCAAATGTTTTTTAGCATTAATACCAAATATTCTACAGCTCTGGTTTCCTAAAAACCAATTTCTGGGGCCAACATTGTGGCGTAGTGGTAAAGCTGCTGCCTGAGTCCCTGCTGCTCCACTTCCAATCCAGCTCTCTGCTATGACCTAGGAAAGCAGTAGAAGATGGCACAAGTGCTTCGGCACCTGGACCCGCATGGAAGACCCTGAAGAAGCTCCTGGCTCCTGGCTTCAGATCGGCATAGTTTCAGCCATTGTGGCCAGTTGGGTAGCAAACCAGCAGATGGAAGATCTCTCTCTCTTTCTCTCTCTCTCTGCCTCTCCTTCGCTCTCTGTGTAACTCTACCTTTCAAAAAAATAAATAAATCTTTAAAAATTTTTAAAAATAAAAATAAAAAATCAATTATATGTTCTTCTTTTTGTCATCATTTATGTGTTTACTCAGCCTTCAAAGCCCCTTCGGCAGGATGCTTTCCCTGATCAAATCAATGGAAAATACCCTTCTAAAGCAAGTGCTTTTCAGTATTCTGGTGGCATATGTCACATTCTAATTTGTTTCACAAATATTTGTTACATGTACTTTATTCATTTAGTAGCTTGGAAATAACATGAGGATGTACAGTAACTTATCCACTTAATGTAAACAATCACTGAACAATTAGTGGAAAATTGGATAAAACAATGCAGAATTTTGTTTTTACTTCTGTGACTTCCTATTAAAACCCACCCCTCATTACCAAACTTCATTGATGTTGTTAAGATGCCCACAAAATGTAACCAATTTATAACAAACAAGTCAAATATGGTTCAAGCTTGAGATGTTTGCAGAGGAGAACCATTTCTAGCTAATTTTAAATGGAAGATTTGGGATCCAGGCAGCCAGAAGATGAGATTCAAGATTTAACTTTGACTTCCAAACAATTCCAGGTTCAGCCCAAGGAAAGTAAAGCAGAGAGAAACTTGGTATAACTTGAGCCATCTTCTACTGCTTTTCCCAGGCACATTATCAGGGAGCTGAATCGAAAGTGGAGCAACTATGACACAAATCAGTGCCTATAGGGCATGCTGGCTTCGTAGGCAGCAGTGTTACCCAGTGCACCACAATGCCACCCTCCTTTATTTATTTATATATTTTTTTGACAGGCAGAATTAGACAGAGAGAGAGACAGAGAGAAAGGTCTTCCTTTTTCCGTTGGTTCACCCCCCCCTCCCCCCCCCCGCCAAATGGTCGCTACAGCCGGCATGCTGCGCTGGTCTGAAGCCAGGAGCCAGGTGCCTCCTCCCGGTCTCCTATGGGGTGCAGGGCCCAAGCACTTGGGCCATCCTCCACTGCCCTCCCGGGCCACAGCAGAGAGCTGGACTGGAAGAGGGGCAACAGGGACAGAACCGGCACCCCAATGGGGACTGGAACCTGGGGTGCCAGCACCACAGGCGGAGGATTAGCCTAGTGAGCTGCGGCACCGGCTCTCCTTTATTTTTTAGAATTTATTTATATATTTTGAAAGTCAGGGTTACAGAGAAATAGAAAGGGATAAAGAGAAAGACAGAGACAAAGAAAGAGAGGTATGAATTAACTACTTTTAAAATGTTGGCCTTAACTAAGCCATGATCATAATGTCAACCTAAATCACAAAAGAAATAACATCCAGAGAAACAAGTAGAAAGACTCTCTAATGATATTTCCTTGGGAATACCAGAGCATGGCAATGGGAATGACCTTGCCTTGGAAAACTACAAGGAAGGTGAGGCAAGGGAAAACTCTCAACAGCAAAAATGAAGTAGATATTATGGGATATTTTGAAACAGTAATTTTGGCCACAATGATTGATAACCAGGGTGATGTTAGTCCAAGACTGGATGACAATTGACAGGGAGATGTCCTTGTAGACATACGTTTTTGTATAAAGTTGTGGTGAAAGTCTCTGGGCCGGCGCTGCAGCTCACTAGGCTAATCCTCCGCCTTGCGGCACCAGCACACTGGGTTCTAGTTCTGGTCGGGGCGCCGGATTCTGTCCCGGTTGCCCCTCTTCCAGGCCAGCTCTCTGCTGTGGCCAGGGAGTGCAGTGGAGGATGGCCCAAGTCCTTGGGCCCTGCACCCCATGGGAGACCAGGATAAGTACCTGTCTCCTGCCATCGGATCAGCGCGCCAGCCACGGCGGCCACTGGAGGGTGAACCAACGGCAAAGGGAGACCTTTCTCTTTGTCTCTCTCTCACTGTCCACTCTGCCTGTCAAAAAAAAAAAAAAAGTCTCTGTGTGAACACTTGTTCTGGCAGTCACTCGTGATTATTACTATTAGGTAATTATGCACAGGAAGTCTTTCTCCAAAACCTCCTGGCTGTGTTTTTGTTAGGGATGGCTAGGGTGACTCCATTTTGACTCTGCTATCTTTTTTGTTCTTTCGTTTTGTTTTTCACTTTCAAAATTTTATATCAAGATATAATTAACATGTGTATTTAAAGCATATCATTTGTTTAATTTTAATGAATATCTACTAAGAGATCATCACCATAATTAAAATTATAAATATATTTATCATGCCCAAAATTATGAGCAACTATAAAAATTCTTGCTTATTAAATTGATTTGCTGTAAAATGTACCTTTTTGGTATTTACTTTCATGATTTCAAATATATGTATGGTGTAATATAACTACTACCACAACTGGGATACACATCACTTCTGTCAAATAAAAAATCTCCCTCATGCTGTTCCTGTTTTCACAGTTTCTCCTTTCCCTTGGTACCCTGTGGCAACCAGTGATCCGTTCTGGAGTGTCATATAACTGGAATCATATAACATACATGAGATGGGCTTATCTCACTCACCATAACTCCTTTGATGTCCATCTTAGCTGTTATTGGTTATTAATAGTCCCCCTAGCCTTCCTCCCCACCCTTTGTTTATTCATTCTCCTGTTCAAGGACACATTTGGGTTGTTTCTGGGTTCTGGTAACGGTGAATGAAGCTGCAATAAACATTTACATACAGGATTTTGAGTATATCAATACATTTTTTTTAGTTTCTTTCCCAATTATGTCCAAAATAATGATGAGACAAGAACCAAAATTTTCAGACTACAAAATGAGGAAATTGGGAAGAGTTTCAAATGAATTCTTAGGTAGACAAGAAGTCTTCCATTTCTCTCCATCATCCATGGCCCGAGCAGCTCCATCTGCCATTGCTTTGCTTCCAATTTTCCAGATAATGACATTCTTTTGGACATTAGCAAGTCTCTTGATTCTTTAGTAGGAGTCTCTATGCTCCTGTTTTGATGTGTCATATGCCATATTTTAAGTAGACACATGTATCAGGACAACTAATTTCATGTATCCCAGACCTGGGAACATTTTTTTCTACTTACAAGAGTATCTAAGCTGCAGTTTTGCAATGGGAAAAGGTAGGTCTGAGAATAAAAGGAAATAGTTAGAATTACCTATCAGTAATGGACAGAATCTGTAAGAATGATTATGAGTTATTGTTGGAATTGTATAGTTCTTCAGAAATATAAATATTGAATTTATTATTAATTCATTTATCTGGTCATTTAACACAATAAAAATTTATTGAACATCCATTATGTTTTATGCACTGTTTTAAGTTTCTCTTTTCCACAACTTTTTTACATTAGCATCTGGTTAACGTATTATTGAAATTTTATTTATTGATTTATTTTACAGGAGTCAATTTTACAGCTCGATCCAGACAGTTTGCTGTTTTGCCAGTGACTGAGAAGGAGAGCTCAACCATCATCTTGTCTGCGTCACTGTGCTCAGTGGCGTCATGGCTGGCGTTGATCTGTCTGGTTTGTTGTTGGTTCAAGAAGAAAAAAAACAGAAGTATGTGTTTTTTTTTTTCCTTTTTGGAAATTAAATATCTTAGGAAAATGTCTTATACATTAATGATTCCTTTTCTTCCTGAAAAAGAATTTGTATGAGCTTCTGCAGGATATAAAAACCAAATGAACCAAAGGAGTCAATTAATATAATAGACGTAAGGTTTTCCTGCCCTTATATAATAAAACTAGGTCATATTTATTGAATATTCACTCTGGACCAGGTTCTAAGTACTTTAGATAATGAATCTATTTAGTCCTTGCAACAACCAAATGAAAGGTAGCTGCTAATATCACGCCTGAATTATGGATGCAGACAATGAGGCAAAGAAAGGGTAAGTTGCAAACAGCCTGGCAATTTGCGTCCAGATTCCACTCTATGAAACATTGCTTCACTGCCAGGTGACCCTCCGTACGATGTTTAGGAAGCAAAGGAAAATGGTCCTTTGCCTCTCTAGAAGTGAAGAGAGAGAGTGCCTGGTGTGTTTTCTCTAGAAGTGTAGAAATTAAGTCTTTCTCATGTCTAAAACAGTATCTGGCATGAAGACTATGTGTATCTATGTGTGTGTATTTATATGTGTGTATATATATATATATATTCAAATTTCTATCTATTTGAAAAGCAGAAGGAGAGAGAGATAGAAAGACAGACACAGAAACACATTTCCCATCTGCCAGTTCATTACCCAAATGGCCACAACAGCAGGCTGGACTAGGCTAAAGCTGGGATCTAAAAACATAACCTTAAGCTATCATCTGCTGCCTCCAAGGGTATTTATTAACAGAAAGCTGGAATCAGGACCAGAACTGGTTCTTGAACATAGACATTCTGATATGGGATATGATATGGGCCATCCCAAATGCTGTCTTAGCTGTGATACCTACCTCCTAAAATACATTTTTAATGAATGTATTTGTTAAATAGATAGATAGATAGAAGGTGAAGTATCTCTCAGAGGTAGACTGAAAATATAAAGATTTCAAAAGCACACAGAGTGGGCAGCGTTGTGGTATAAGGCTAATAAAGCTATTGCCTCTGAGGCCAGTATCCAAAATAGGCACTCTTTACTGGCTGGGCTGCTCCACTTCTAATCCAGCTCCCTGATAATGTCCTGGAAAAGGCAGCAGAAGATAGCCCAAATACTTGGGCTTCTGCCATTCATGTGGGAGATCTGGATGAAGCTCCTGGATCCTGGCTTTGTCTTAACACAGCCCTGGACATTGCAGTTATCTGGGGGAGTGAGCCAGAGGATAGATCTCTCTCTCTCTCTCTCTCTCTCTCTCTCTCTTTCTCCCTTCCTCCCTCCCTCTCTGTATGTGTGTGTGTGCACCTCCCTCTCTCTTTCTGTGACTCTGACTTTCAAATAAATAAATAAGTAAATAAATGTTTTTTTAAAAAAACACATGTCTGCTTGGTGCTTTAGATTTTACCAATGTCTGATTCCTGGTTTTGATATCATGCTATAATTACACAGGCTGAAAATGAATGGAGAAGGCTGGGTGAAAAGGCATATATCATCCCTGTATATTTCTTGGCTTCTTCTTCTTCTTTTTTTTTTTTTTTTTGACAGGCAGAGTGGACAGTGAGAGACAGAGAGAAAGGTCTTCCTTTATCGTTGGTTCACCCCCCCAATGGCTGCCGCGGCCAGCGCACTGCGCTGATCCGAAGCCAGGAGCCAGGTGTTTCTCCTGGTCTCCCATGTGGGTGTGGGGCCCAAGGACTTGGGCCATCCTCCACTGCACTCCTGGGCCATAGCAAAGAGTTGGACTGGAAGAGGAGCAACCAGGACAGAATCCGGCTCCCCGACCGGGACTAGAACCTGGTGTGCTGGCGCCACAGGCGGAGGATTAGCCTATTGAGCCACAGCGCTGGCCTCTTGGCTTCTTCTTTTGAGTCTATAATTATCTGTACTTATTTCAAATAAAAGTAAAAAAAAAGTATTAGTAATATTTTGTTTCTAACTAGTTCTGTGCAACAGAAATATAACATGAGCTACAAATGTGAAGCACATTGTATTGTTCTTTTCTTTTTTTTTTTTAAAGACCTATTTTATTTATTTGAAAGACAGAGTTACAGAGAGAGGTAGAGACAGAGAGGTCTTCCATCTACTGGTTCACTCCCCAAATGGCTGCAATGGCTGGAGCTGCGCTGATCCGAAGCCAGGAGCCAGGAGCTTCCTCTGGGTCTCCCACTGCATTCCCAGACCATAGCAGACTGGATCGGAAGAGGAACAGCAGGGACTAGAACCAGCACCCATATGGAATGCCAGCGTTGTAAGCTAGGGCTTTAACCCGCTGTGTCACAGCACCGCCCCAATGTTCTTTTCTTTTTAAGATTTATTTAAATCTTAAAAAGAGAGGGAGAGACAGAGAGAAATATCCTTACATCTACTGGTTTACTTCCAAATAGCTGCAACAGCTGGGGCTCCTCCAGGCTGAAGCCAGCAGTCTGGAACTTCATCCTGGTCTCCTCTGTAGGTGGCAGCAACCCAAGTACTTGGGTCACTTCTGTTCCTTTCCCAGCACATTAGCAGGGGTCTGGATCAGAAGCAAGGAGAGAGGACTCAGGCTGGTGCTCATATGGGGTGCTGGCATCACAGGCAGTCAGGCAGTGTTTTAACCAGAGTCGACCCCACTGTAATGTTCTAATACCACTTAACCCAGTGCATCAAATATTATTTTAACAAATAATGGATATAAAACTTTAGATATTTTACATTTTATCAAGAGCAGCTGTGTATTTTATATGAGTGCTCCCAGCACATCTCAATTTGAAGTAGGCACATTTGAATCATCAGTAATGACCTGTGGCTACCACCATATGGGACAGTTCAGATTCATACTGCAAAGCTGATCAGATTGAAATTTGCGTCATTATTTCTTAAGATCTGAATTGCGTTCTATTCTATATTTGAGGATACTTCTAAAAGTTTGTTAAAAGTGGAACCAAGTTTGTATCTATTTTAGTAAAAATATTTGAAATCATGCATAGCTTTTCAAAATATACATAATATCCAGGACCTTTTTAAAGACCCATTTTATATCTCAATGATGAATGGGGTTGAGGAGTACAAAAGAAACTTCTTAGAACTTACAGCCCACTTGCAAATAGTAACGTCCGTTTTATATTAAAAAAAAAAAACAACTAAAAGTCCTGTTTTTATTTCCATGAATGCAGAAACAAAACCTGAGGAGATATCTGAATCTCAGGCTAATGATCCAAAGAATCATATCCAAGTCTCCTCCAAACGTCAAGGATCACACGTAGATACTGTGAAAGAAGACATTGTGATGGGAGAAGGTGAGCTTGTACCACGGGGATGGTTACCACAGGAGAACCCACTGTGGTTGATCTGCATATCCCTTGACCTTGGCTGTGGGTTTCTGAAGAAATCTAATTTAGCTACAGTGTCTCCTTCAGTCTCAGTTGCTGTTTCTCAAAGTAATTATACCCTAGCCTGGGATCACATAGATGTAGCTGATTCACTGAGCTATTATCCAATTATTTGAATTGACATTTATATATTTTTCTTAGTTGCTTTAAGATTCTAGTTTGTTACATAGAGGAAGGGGAAAACCAGAGTACAGGCATATAATCTTTCCCTTAGCTATTGCAAAGCTGCCAATTTGGCAACGTTATTGAATTTGGGAAAAAAAGAGTGTGGTTGCCCAATACCTACTATGCAAATTAAATGACATACTGAACCCTCAAGAAATAAGCCAGTTTTTGTCAAGCTCTGCTTTGTTGTTTTGTCATACTTTAAGCAAAATATATTCTTTGCCTATGTTGTGCATTATGGCAGATGATGTTACTTGTTATATGGTTAAATTGCCATTAGAGTTGTTGGCAAGCAGTGAAAAGATAAGCATTTGCCTAGACTGGTGCTTTGCCTGTGTCCTACAAAGGATATAGAAAACAAGAAGACAATGAAGGAACACAAGATGGCTTGGCCAAATATAGATGTAGTGTGAGAAGTATTCACATAATTTCCATGAATCTGAAACATTTTAAAATATGTCTAGAGAGAAGAATCTTCCTATTTTCTTCTAACAGTCAATTATCATGCTTTCTGTTTATGGAGGAATACCAGACCTGTTGGTTCTGTGTGCATGTTTGACTGAAAAATAACAGTTCAATGTTGTTCTGCTCTAAATAGATGAATGAGCTCTGGCATGTATATGTGTATGTATGTGTTTGTGCCTATGTACATCTATACATGCGTGCATGTGCACATGTTTGTCTATTTGTTTGCCTCTTTTTCCATACAGGAAATGAAGTTTTGTTTTTTTTTTCAAAAAAATTAAGTAACCATACTCCAGCTCTTGGACTTATACCGAAATGTGGTAGGGAGTATGGGGCAAGATGGGTGTGGATGTGGTGAAAATAATGAGGGTAGAGAGAAACATAGGAACTTTTTGTAGGTTCCAACTACAGTCATTTTAATTTTAATTTTAATTTGTTTTTCATATCATTAATGGACATGCTTTCTGTCCATATCAGTGCATGTAAAAGCAAGACCCGTGTTTGAAAACTGCAGTCTGAATCCAGCTGTTCGTGTTCTGTCATGTTCTTCAGCAGATCTCTACCCTCATCTACTATGACTGTCTGCATGCATCACTGTTGCCCTGCTTGACTTAACTACACTAAGCAGTCCACAGTGTCTGGGTGTTTTTATTATGGAACATTTTTAGGTTTTGGGTCATTAATAAATTATTAGTAATGAGGCAAGTTACAGGGATTCTGTTGAAGAGTTTAGATTGAGGAGACGGGAGCATCAAAGAGACCATTTTTTGAGGACATCCAAGTTAAAAATAGAAATATGTGTTATCCAAATCCTCCCCTGGGGATCATAGCGATTGCTTCCTTATCTTCTAAGCTTTGTCCAAATCTTTAGTGCATTGTTTCCAAGGCAAGTAATGAGGCATCTCCTGCTTTTCTTTGGAAATTATTTGCAGCTACAAAACCCTTAATTATTGTTAGTTTGAAATAGATTTGGTTTTATTCCATTATGTTCATGCTATTTTAGTTTCCCTATTCCCTCTGTGTTTTTAAAATTTCAACATTTGCTGATAAAGTGATCAGCTGTCGCTCTCAACAGCACTTGGCCTTCTCTGAGCACTGTTGTAGTATTTAAGATTATTTAGTAGATGCAACTGAACATTACTGCTAGATTGTAAACTCACCACATTACAGCTTTTACCAAAAATTGCATGAATGTAGTCAGGGAGCTATGGAGAAAATTTCCATGGGGGCAGAGGAGAGTAAAGTATGAAAGGTCTTTGAAAAGTTCATGAAAAATGCAATTATGAAAATACTATATGCATCAATTTTGAATTTTTTGCATCAAGATAAATTCTTTTTTGAAAGATTTATTTATTTATTTGCAAGTCAGAGTTACACAGAAAGAGTAGAGGCAGAGAGATAGAGAGAGAGAGAGAGAGGTCTTCCATCCGATGGCTCACTCCCTAATTGGCCGCAATGGCCAGCACTGCGCCAATCCGAAGCCAAGAGCCAGGAGCTTCTTCCAGGTCTCCCACGCATGTGCAGGGGCCAAAGTCCTTGGGCCATCTTTTACTGCTTTCCCAGGCCCTAGCAGAGAACTGGATCAGAAGTGGAGCAGTTGGGACTAGAACTGATGCCCATATGGGATGCTGGCGCCTCAGGCCAGGGTGTTAACCCACTACGCCACTTCACCAGCCCCAAGATAAACACTTAATTCCTTGTTCCATGATGTTGAAATTCTTCATATATGTCATTGCTACTATACTATTGCTGGAATTTTGACATATAAAGCTATCTATGGTATCTTTGAAAATTCCTATCTACTTGTGGAACTCTGTTACTAAAGATTTAGTGAACACACATCATGATTTGGAGGCACATGAAAATATCACAAGTAAGATCATGGGAGCCAAGAGTCAAACTTTGGAATTAAATCTGATTTTCCTGTCGCCTAACTTTGTGACTTTGACACTTCTCTCTGTAACCTTTAATTTCCTCATTAAGAAAGTTATCATAGGGGCCAGTGTGTGGTGTAGCAGATTAAGCCACCACCAGCATTGCTGGCATTCCATATGGGCACCACTTTGAGTTGTGGCTGCTCCACTTCCCATCCAGTTCCCTACTAATGAATCAGGGAAAGCAGCGGAGGATGACCCAAGTGCCTGGGCCCCTGCAACCATGTGTAAGACACAGAAGTCCTTGGCTCTCGCCCAGTCCTGGCCATTGTGGACATTTGGGGAGTGAAACAGCAGATAAAAGACCTCTCTCTGTGTCTCCCTCTCTATATAACTCTGCCTTTCAAATTTTTTTAAAAAAGAAAATTATCAATAATATGATTCACCTTAGTGTTGCTTTACAGATTTGGTGAATTCACACCAGTGAAGAGCTCACACACAGTCCTTAGTATGTTGTATGTGTTATTTGTGGTTATTTGTCATTGTTATTTTTTCTTGTTGTTATTTAAGACTCAAAGCTCTCTAAGACATAAACTATCCTATCTTCCTAACCTTATTTTGGATTTCGCTCTCCTGCACCCCACTCCCACTCACCACTCTAGCTCACTCATCCTGAGACTTGTCTAACACTTTCCTGCTCATTTGTTTTCACAGTTTCTTCCAGTTGGAGTGCTTGTCTTTATTTGATAAAACCTCCACAATATTTAAACTCTAGCTGAGATGCATGTTTCCTCTTAAAGCTTTCCCCCGTCCCTCACACCTCATCAAAAGGAGAATTTTCTTTAGTGGCTTAAAACAACAAAACTGAATGTGGGCCTCTGTTGTAACACTTATGGTCTTTGTAATTCATGTATATGTGTTCTGTTCCCAAAGGCCACTGGTTTTCAACCAGGGCGATTTTGCTTCCCCAAACCCTGTACGTATGGGGTGACTAGCTGATCCCATCCTCATTTTCATATTGAAAGTCTTGTGTCCCATGAATTCCCTGAGTCCCAGGCAAATCAGGGCAGTTTGGTCTCCTTAACCTCCACTGGAGATTTGCAGAATCCAGACACATTTCTTTTCACATAGTTTGGGAGAGGTGGAGGCCTACTGGTAGTAAGTGGAGAACAGTGATGCTGTATCTATCTTCCAATGTGCAAGGCCACCCCCACAATAAATATTACCTGGCTCAAAATGTCAGTAATGTCAAGGATGAGCTACCTTAGCAGAAGCTGTTACACCTTTGTAAAATTTAGATGAGAGCCTGCTGGAATGTATAAATGAATGTAATTATGTCTTACCTCGCAATAACTGTTAATTAAGTACTTATTTATCTCCTGATATATACTTAGGATGCTATATGATCCTTCTCAAAGAGATGATATCTGGTATCTGGTCCTTTATGAATTTTCAATATGTTTGGAGCATAATACTATTTGGGGGGAAGAACAGAGAATAATTACAGACAATAAACCATTGAGTAGAAAGCAATAACAGGAAACAAGATGTGTTTGAATATTTTTAATGTGGAACAGAATGCTAAAAGAAGCAATACTATGTGTTTGAATATTTTTAATGTGGATCAGAATGCTAAAAGAAACAATACTATTATCCTAAGTTACATGTTTATCCCTTCTAGTTTGTAAATCATATCACTCTGTTGCGAATCCCACTTGCTAAGGACTTGGTTGTTCAGTTACAGAAATTGAGGTTTGTAGAAATGCCAGGCGAGGAGTTCTTTGCGTGGTTAGGGCTCAGTTTTCTGTTTCTCCTTCTCAACTGACCTTTGTTCTCATAAATGGATTAGTAATCCTTAAACCTTCCCATGTGGACACTCAGTGTTACCCTTAACTCACACTTCTTTCTTTGTTTTTTAATCTTGCAATTTTTTTTTTTTTTTCTGAGAGAGGCAGAGTTCTCGCATCTGCTTCTCACTCCATAAATGCCTGCAACAGTGGAGAGAGCCAAAGCTGGGAGCTGGAAACTCAGTCAAGTTCTCCTGTGTGAATGGTGGAGACCCAACTACTTGAGCTACCACCTTCTGTCCCCCAGATCTACAGTATCAAATAGCTGCAATCAGAAGTCAGAATCAGGACTCAAATCCAGGCCTGGCCATATGCCCACCCCTTACTTGTCAAGTTGTATCAGTTCTACAATGTCTCTCTCTCTCCTCATCTCTGTTCCATTTCACAGGGTATGTCTTTAGCTATCTAATGTCATATACTACTCTACTCCCTGTCTTTTTCTCTGTGGGACAGCATTTCCGTTTCAAAATGTGCTTCTCTAAATTAGCCACCTAACAAAAAATTCCCTTTTTTTTCCCATCTGAGAATAAATATGTCTCATCATCTATTTTAAAAA